TTTTCAGTCCCATTGCCAGAGTGTCACCCGGCGTCACTTCCTGGTGATGGCATGGTGTGTTACAGGGAAGAATGGTCCAGCCAGGGAGCATGTTTCCCCTACCGGATCATGGTAAGTACTTGGGAACCCTACTCCCTACCCACCCCCAGTTGCTTTTCTCCTAGGAGGAGAAGAAAGAAGCATGGTGATTTGGGGGGAACATGTGGGTGTGGGAAGAGTTCAGCAACCTCTTCCAGCTGCCAGTTCTCAGCTTTAAATCTCCAAGTTCACTTACTGCTTTCTACCTGCTAGGTACAACCTAACATATAGAACAAGTTATACCCTAAAGAAGAGGAAAGTCCATGGCTTATTTCAAAGGTGAAATCAGTTTGAAAGAAGCATTACTACACCTGGTGTTATGGTTGCCAACTGGCCTGGTAAAAACGTCATCTCCTTTTAATAGAGGCTTAATGCATGGAAATGGGCCACTGAAGCTTTTCATGGCATGGAATTAAATAACATCAGTTGACAAATAACATGCCATTAAGTTTTATTAAAGGAACAGGATATTTTTCTCCAGATCATTGGCATCAAATTATAATAGAAGCTTTGTTAATCAGCAACTAGGGGGAAGTGGGATTGCAGATTAACCCAAGATGGTGGTTACCAAAGCTTTCACTACCCAGCAGCAGTGTTCCCTCTAAGCTGAGTTAGTGTGAGCTAGCTCACAGTTTTTTAGCCTCCAGCTCATACATTTTTTGTCTTAGCTCATGAAGGACGGCTCCAGAGCAAACTAATTTATGCAGCGGCCAAATCGCTCGCTCACAACTTTAATACCAGTAGCTCACAAAGTAGAATTTTGGCTCACAGGACTCCACAGCTTAGAGGGAACTTTGCCCAGCAGTGCTTAGTGTCCAGCAGCCATGATGAAGCCCTGCTGAGACATGTAGCTGTTCAGCACTCGCCCAGTAGCTGCCTGCTACATCTCTGCCTGCTCTCATGTGGAACTGGGTGGCAGAGGAGCAGGGAGTGCTCCTCAGCTGGATTTCAGCCATGATCATTGCTCACTTGGCAGTGGCCCCAGCAGGCAGCTCCCATGGCTGAGAAGTAGTCCCTGCTCCCAGGGCCGGCCCCAGGCTTTTTTTGCGCACTAGGCAAGGCTACCTTCTGGCACACACACACACCCGTGCACCCACCAATTTTCAAACATAAATGCATTTTAGGAAGAATAAAAAACACAACATTTGAAATTGCTAATTTTTTTAATTGTGAGAACAAGTAATACAATCTCTGATTTTCTCTCTCAAACAGAAAAATCACAAAGCATTTTGAAAAATCCCTGTCCTCACTGTACAACTTGTTAAGTCCATCAACTCCAGCTAATAACTCAATTAACAGGTTCTCTTCTCAAAGCCGTTACTTGCATATGGAACTGAACAGTGATGGGGATCCCTAACTCAAATACCAACAACAGGGTTTGGTTAGAATAAAAATGTATCTTTCCTCTAATGCTTTTGAATTTGATTTAAATTCCCCATGAAGAAATTCAACTAAAATAATGAAAACGGTGATGGGAGTTTTTCTAACCATCCACACAGAAATGCAAACACACAACAACAGAATGTATTTATGTGACAACAGCAGAGGAGAAAAAACTAGATAAAAGGGGACAAAGAACTTTTTACTGAGAAAGCAGAACAAAGGGGAAAGACTAAATTGACACATACATGAATGCGCCATTGTAGCAATGAATTGTATAATTAACAGCACCTTATGATTTAGATTTTATATTCCTATTAAGTATTGTATTATCTTATACTGTTTTATTGTTTTGTTGGCAACCGGTGCCGTCAATGTAAGCCAACCTGAGCCCGCTCACAGGGAGGGCAGGATAGAAACTGCATTAATAAATAAATAAATAAATTTGGAAGAGAGATGGAAAAAAGTACAAACATGAAAACATGCATCTTTGAAAAGAAGGAAGAGGAAGCAGAGGATAAACTAAACAAAGTAATATACAGAGATTAATACAAAGCAAAAAAAGACATAGATAAAATTGGGGAAGAACAGAATGGCCACACAATTAAATGAAAATTGAGGGAGCAGAGAAAAACTGTGAAGATCCAATGGAAAAACAATGACAAAAGTAACAGGAAAAAGAAAAATATTAGCATATCAGGTGAAAAATCTAAAACACAACTGGAAAAATGCAGAAAGGAGTCTAAAGATGGGACAGCAGAGAACTGGAAGGGAACAGCAGAAAGTATTAGCGTCAAAACAGAACACAAGGGAGAAAAGAATCATGCAAGCAAAAAGATGTGAGTGACAGGGGGGGTCCCCACCAAGGCTGCCACCACTGCCAGCAGGTGCAGCAGCAGGAAGGGTGTCCAAGGAGCAGCGCCATTCTGGACTCCCTCTCCTTTCCAATCTGGCTGGCAGCCAGGAGGCCAGGTGGGCGCAGGGAGGCAGTTCTGCACCCCTCTAGGGTCTCCGCCATAGGTGGTCGCCTAATTGGCCTAATGGGAGAACTGGCCCTGACTGCTCCTCCTCAGCCTGCTTATGTGCAGTAACAAGTAGCAGAGCAGCAGGAAGTGCTTCTTGGCCAGCTCTCAACCACAGGTGCTTCCTGCTCCTCCTGCCAAGTGGGGGGTGCCTATGGTGGAGAAGTACTTCCTGCCCCTCCTCCACCTTCTCCCAGTAGCCATGCAAGCCCCTGGGGTCCTGGACAGATAGAGTTGCCAGGTGAGGCCAACAAGCAGGCAGGGGACTTACCAGGAGGGAGAGGGGAGGGAAGCTCTGGGAGTGAGAACCCCCAAGCAAGATCCAGGTGAGCTGCCGTCACATTTAAAGGGACCACATTGCTTTTAAATGCCTTCTCTCCATTAGAAATAATGGATGGGGGCACCTTCTTCTGGGGCTTGTAAAACTGGACCCCCTAGTACAATCTTTTTGAAACCTTGGGGGGGGGGGGGGGGGGGGGTTGAGAAGAGGCCCCAGCAGCTATGCTGAAAATTTAATGCCTCTAACTCAAAAAAAAGCCCCCCCAAGCCCCAAATACCCACGGATTGATTCTCCATTATACCCTAAGGGGACTGGTCTCTATAGGGTATAATGAAGCACCCAGCAGCTATTTACCCCCCACACTTTCAGATAGCCCTGAAGCAGAGGGAGGGGCTCCAAACCAGGGGATTCCCTGCCCCCAACTGGGAATTAGCAACCCTATGGACAGGACCTGAAGTTTGCTTCTCCATAGGGTTGCCAGCCCTGAGTTCGAAAGTACCTGGGGATTTTTTTGTCGGGTAGCCTGGGTAGGCAGGGTTTGGGGAGGTACCTCAGCAGGGTATAATACCATACAGTCCACCATCCAAAGCAGCCATTTTCTCCAGGGGAAGTGATCCCTGTCATCTGGAAACCAGTTATAATACCAGGAGATAGCCAGGTGCCACCTGGAGATTGGCAACCCTACTTGAAGTTCACCATCTTCTCTTGCTTGAGAGCATGCAGCAATGGAATAGGCTGCACCCCAGCATGCCAGATAAGACAGTTTTTACTGTCAAAAGGTATATTTTGTTCATTTTCAATAATCTATGCTAAAATGTATCTATTTTTACTGTTTTGCAATGAAGTACCTTTTTAAACTCATCTTCTTTCTCACTGTCTTCAGCATCCTCACTAGAAACAACAGAAATCCCAGAAGAACTGTTCTCCATTCCTCTGCCTCCAAATGCTACATGCTTCTCTTCTATAGTAAAACAAAAGTTTAACTGATTTCATTCAGTTGACAACCTGACAGTATTTTAAAGAACAAAATCAACCACCAATGGATGTACAGTGTATGCCAAGTATTTTAAAGAAGGCAGAAGCTGAACCTACAAATATGGGGCACAGGGGCTGCACTGAGCTGCCGTTGCCCTGTCTCTGCTTGCCCTTCACACACTCGATTTAAAGTAGGATCCTGCTCCAGTAGAGGCCAATACACACATAGGCCACATAGGCCCCATCTGTGTAATTTGTACACCACCTAAATGAGGTGTAAAAACAGGGTGTCAGGTCCTTACCTGGCACCAGTGGGGGGGTGAGGGAGAGCTCTCCAGGAATGGGGGGGCGACATCACCACACGTGACGTCCCTGACATGATGACATCATGCAAAAGCAACATCATCATGTTGAGGATGTCCCCTGGGCTCATGATTGTTGGGGGCAGGGGCTTCCCCCTCCAGCCAGCTGGCTGGCAGTGGGCAGGAGCCCACAAAATTGGGGGATCCCCCACTCCCACCTGGGGGCTGGCCCTATGTGGAAATCATGTGAATTAAGTCAGCATGCATGTAAGCTAGAGTTACCAGATGTCCTCTTTTTAGAGGATGTGTCTCTTTTGGGTTCTTTAAAAAAAAACTGATAGAAATGTCCTCTTTTGGGATTGGAAGGTTCAGGATATTCCTAATTAGTAGCAATTATCTCAGCTTAAATAATAGGAGTATTTAACATTAAGTTTGTCATAGCTTTCACTTGTTTGAAGTAGTTAGGCAATATGTCCTCTTTTTTGCTTTTCAAAATATGGTAACCCTATGTAAGCTCCTATGCAATGTTGCATCAAGCACAAATAGGCAGGAACCAGGTTGGAACACCACAAGAAGCAGGTTCCATGTGTATAATCAGAACATTTGCACTGGAATTATATTACTTGTTTAATACCATATGTCCTTTTAGCTCTAGTCATCTTACGTTTCTGAATTCTAACAATACCTAAATCAATCTCCTTCATTGAAAGGAGCTGAATTGAACCTTTATTTGAATTGTAATACATACATTAAGCCAACAAGCTTACTGAGAACAGCACAATTAATAGATTGGACAAAACATTTCCAAAATAGGAGCTGGTAAGCAGGTGGAGGGGGGACAGGACTGTATGGCCACAATCAATTATAGATGTAGTGTTCTTAAACTTTTAGAACGTATGGGTTTGCATACCTAAACTTACATTGGACTGTAGCAGTTATGAACATATGCCAAGTTTCTGTCCTCAGATGATATGAACAAATGTTTTCCTTTTCCCAAATAATGATTTTCAGTTTCTGCAGATGAAAAGCTGTCTAGCTCAACATGTTAACTAATGAATGTAATATGACATTGAGCTAATTATCAGACACATATGTTTGCCTGATGCTTACTATTGTTTAGTTGGATCAGTTAAAGACAACATTGTCACAGAATCAAAAGTATATTTACTATACTTTGGTATTTCAAATTATAGTATTTATAATTTCACATCTTATTTAATTCTACGTTCAAAAAACTGAACAATTCATTCTGCAGAAGACTCCCAAAAGCCATTATGGAGCCCAGACAGAGGCTCGCCCTGTACTCCCATACGACATTTGGGTTCTACTCATTTTTGGAAGCACATACCAAGATACTTGATCCAAATCAGTTTGTTGTTCCTCCAGCAGGGTGACCAGAGCCCCTAGCCCTTCCACTCAGCATCACCTTTGGTTCTTCAAGCCCAAGGTTAATAGGCTTGGGGTTTTTTCTTAATCAAGTATTAGCCCTCCCCACATGCCACATGGCGAACTGCTTATGACAGTGAGAATTTTAAAAACAGTCTGTGATATGGCAGGCAGGGGTATGTTCAAGCAGTTTAGGGGGGGGGGGAATCTAAGTAGCTCCTGGTTATACCGTGTAGCAAAAAACAATTGTGCCCTTGTCAGTTATGTCAGATCAGTAGCAATAATTGCAGGAATTGTATAGAAATATTTAGAAATATTGATTCCCATAGCCTTCATATATCCCTTGTGATGTTATAGAGTTTCATGCTCCCCTTGGGTGATTCCTAGAAGTTTCAAGTTTCCCCTCTTGGAATGTAATTGCCTCACCCCCTGGTGTTCTAGCTTCCTATGCCTGACCATTTGGGCTCAATTGCCGTCATAAACCTTCTCTGGTAGAAGACCAGAGGCATAGCTGACATGCTACTACACACGTAGCAGGGATCATCTTACTGCAGGAGGATGGTCCCCTGACCCAACCTTTCCCCACCCTGTTGCCATGACAAACACCTAATTTGGAAAGTACCTATCTCATTGTATTGGCTGATGGCCACAGCTAATTCTAATGAGGTTGGGGGTTAAATTGACTAGCACAGAGAGAGGAGCTCAGATTTTCTGCTTGCTGTTCTGTTCCTGTTACCTGCTGTCTGTGGACTTATTCTGGAAATGCTTTGTCTCAGCCATGTGCTCTGGGACAAAGGACTGGGTTGTGCAGCTCAACACATGGCTGCATACTAGCAAAGATGGACCTCTTGTTTCTAAAGATACTTGGACTATTCCAAGGGACTTGGTACTAGGACTCCTTGCCTGTGGATCACCCTGGTAACTATGTAGATCTTTAATGTTTATTAAGGGCCAAAGGGCCATAAGTTTTGTTATTTTCTAATCTCTAGTCTGATTGCTAAGTTCTGTGTCGAATAAACTTTATTCTGTTTATACCTTGTGTGATGATTGATGGGCAAACTGACTCTAAGGCTAAATCCTTGGGCCTAGCTGGCTGTGCTACCATTAAATCTTAAGAGTGCATCTCTAAGGAGGTGTTGGAGCTGGGCATAGTTGTATTGTATTGTGAAAAGGCAGGAGTTCTCCCCTCATTCCTGGGCAGGCGTGGGGGTAGGATCCTGTACATGGTGGCCCTAGCGTTGGGATCAATGAACTGGATTCTGGCATTGCTCTGTAAAAGAGATGGACCATGGCGAAAGTACAGAGAGGGAGGAACAGAGAGAAGGGGCTACAGCAAGAAGGCCAGAGAACCCGAAGACTATCCCTAAATGTAGTAATACTATAGCACCGATCTTATGCTAGATATTAAAGCCCCAAGGTATGATGGATATGTTTGCCAAACCAATCTCTACAATTACCTACTCCCTTAGGCCAGAATAAAAATGCATCTCCAGGAAAAAGGAAGGCAGCTGGAATAATCTGCTTCACTTTACCCCACAATGCTAGTCCCTGGGAATTCATCAACAAGATCCAGAGTGATGCATTTATTGAATCGCTGTATGTTGGTAGGAGTCAAAACATCTTTTTAACTCCATGGGGATCATCTTAAGAAAGAATGGAAAGCAAAACAATAACTGAAGAAGAGAAAATTCTGAAATGTCACGCAAAACAATGTTAGCTAATGCTGTAGTGGTTTTGGATAAGCAATATCTTGAGACTAGTCCAACAGAAGCTCAAGCTACAATTGGCAACAGAATGGTTCTTTGAATTCTGTGGCCAAAAGAAATTGGGACGTGATTGTTGGATGAAGCAGCTAAAGTTCAGTTGCTGAAGAAAATATAGACTTAATTTTTATAGAGTTGTCAAGTTTTGAGTCACAGAAAGAAAAATCTATGTATAATAATGCTTGTTGTAGTATCTTCCTGTCATCCTAAAGATTAAAATTATTGTTAACATACAAGAAAAAAGAGAAAATGAAATATGGGGAGTGGGCACACAGCATAATAAGTAAGACATGGTAAGGCAAATGAAATTCTTCTATGGAGTGAGAAGCAGAATTAATATATTTTTGCTTTTGGTGAAGTAAACAACAGCAACAACCCAACTCCTGTTATTAATTTTTGCGTGGACCTTGAACAGTCCTCTAATTTTGTATTAATCACCTACAGATTAAAATAAATGGATTATTAATTTGATCCATTTGAGCTCTTCTTGTAGCCCTACAAACTAATTACATCAACAGAACAGAAAAGTAATAGAGAAGAAGACAAAGAAGGAGGAGGAGGAGATTGGATTTATACCCTGCCTTTCACTTGGAGTCTCAGAGCAGCTTACAAACACCTTTCCCTTCCCCTGCCCACAACAGACATCCTGTGAAGTAGGTGGGGCTGACAGAGCTCTGAAAGAACTGTCCTTGAGAGAACAGCTCTGACAGAACTATGGCTTGCCCAAGGTCATCCAGCAGCTGCAAGTAGATGAGTGGAGAATCAAACCCGGTTCTCCCAGATTAGAGTCCGCGCACTTAACCACTACACATTTCTATAAATACAGTAAGAAATCCCTTTGCTCACACACATATACCTTGTGTTGGAAATCGTTTGAGAGGTGGCTTTTTAACACGCTTGACTTCATAAATTTGTTCAAATATAGATATCACCTCCTGTACAGCATCTTCTATATGTCTGCTTTTGTTGTTTAATATTTCAGCCCACTCTTTGGTATATGTCTGTCAGTGACATAAGGTAGTTTAAGATGTTTAGTATACATGCGTAGTAAGGGGAAATGGAAGCATTCGAGCAAAATTGTGCATTTTATTGCTATTAAAATATTACAATTAAAAACTTGCTTTAGAATGTATTTAATATTTATAAATACCTAGATCAGTGGCTTTGGATATGGAAGCACTGTAAGTGTAATTTATATACATCCCCTTGGACTTTAGAGCAGCATTGGGGTCTAATGCATAAAAATTTATATTACAAAAGCAGATTTATTCTTTAAGGTGCCTTTTTTTCTAGCAGGAAAAAAAATGCAAATAGTCATATTACCAGCCCCAGTGTTGTTCAAAAGTGGAAACATTTAAGAACAAACCAAGGAGGCTCGCTGATTTGAGGCATTCTAGCTCTTTTGTCTTTAAACTGTGAAAAACCATCCTTTAAATATGAATGGTATGCCTCAAAAAGATACTTGCAAGGCTAATATGTGGGGACTGGGTTCTCATAGTGATTCTGGAGGTCAAGCACCTTACAGTGACCTTGTCAGACGTTACTGCTGCTATCATTGTTATTACTAGCAAGGAATCGTCAAGGCCTTGCAGGCATCACTTCATTTTACCCTTTATCTCCTTCCCCACACCATTATTTTTCTCCTCTTTGCAGCTCCATATCTTCTCCCCTTTTCCTGCTTCCTTCTCTCCTTCCCACTTACCAACCAACCAACCAACCTTTCTTTCCATCTTTCTTTCTGAAAGTCTTCAGCTTTATTTATTATTTACATAATGTATACACCACCGTTATCCCCAATGGGGACCTGAAACAGCTGACACCATTGTCTTCTATTCCAATTTATCTCACAACATTGTGAGGCAGATTAAGCTGGGAGAATGTGACTGGCCCAAGGTCACCCAGGAAGCTTCTATGGCAGACTGGGGATTCATACCCGGGTCTCCCAGATTCTACTCCAAAACTCTAACCACTACACCACACTGGCTTTCATGGGGTGGCTGCCATCGAACAGTAGCAAGAAACCAGGCCGGGGTAAATCACATAAGATGTGTGGTAGCACGTTGCCTGGTGGTTGCTACCAGGCCTGACCATGATTCCTTCTCCCAGGGTGGACTGGCAATTATGGGCATCAAGGTTCCTTCTGGTCAGCCAATGGCCTCCCTCCCTGGGCTAGGCAAGCACTCTGGCAGGCAGAAGGGATGTGACTGACCCACCTGAGCTCTCCACAGCGGTGGAGGAGGTAGTGCCCAAGCCCTGCACAAGGCAAAGCATCAGCCCCTCCCCCAAGTCCCACGTGATACAAAGTGCCTGGCCAATTGAGGGTGGGACAAGGGCAGGCAGGCTGTAGGAACTTATTTCTTTTTTTAAAATCCCAAATGGGCTTGGAATAGAGCCACAGGGGAAAGAAAGGCTCTTGCCTCCACCTCCCCCAGCAGTTTGCTTGAGCAACAAGTGTGGGGGGCTTTCTAACAGCCTCAGAAAGATTGTCCCATAAGGGACTTCAATATTGAACTAACTCTTGTGTTGATCTGGATTGCTAGAACAAGAAGGAGAACACACTTCATATGCTATGAAGTGATATGAAGAACACCAATTCATGAAAGAGATTTGAAGCAGGATCCACTGTAATGTAACGTAACATTTCCTTTCTCAATCCTGCGGTTCCCAAATTACAGGACCATGCTTCAAAGCTAGTGACTCGCTCACCTGAATAACAAATATCTCTGTGAAGATCTCAGTGTCAAAACAGTAATACTAAAACCTGAAGATTCAGGAGATGTATGCCATCTAGTGGCAAACTATTAATATATATTGTTTCATTTATAAACATTTTGCTACATTCAGATTAGTAAATACTGTGATAACAAAACATATATTTGGAACAATGCAGTAAATAAAATATGTGTTATAACATTTATGTTAAAGAAACTAGAAAAAGAAATATGGATACCTCATTGCGTGCCAATAAATCCTCCACTTTTGTAGCACTGTCTGGTAATACAAGCAAAAGAGTATTCGATATGTCTTTCATTGTTAAATCAATCTGGATTTCACACAAGTCATTAATCTACAATAAATAAAATAAAAATTAATAGCATACAATTTATTTTTATGTAGCTGCATTAGTTAAGTGGTCTGATAAGATTTTGATCTTGGAAGGGAGGAGAGAACCCAACTCACAAAAGAAAATTGAAAGTGTACTTTGTCAATGTTAAGAGGGGCTGTAGCTCACTTGCAGAGCTGAGATGTGATTTTATTCTTCTTTCCACAATTGCAGCAGTGCATGGAGGTAGTTTGAATTCTCTTCCCAACTGTTTTTGACTGCATAGGAGCTGATGCAGAAAACAACTTGGTGAAGAGGCTTAGTCACAAGTGGTGTAAATTTCCCATCAAGGAATGCCCTCCAAAATCACCAGAAGCAGACATGACATAAACCAAACCTGGGGGTTGCTCAAGGATGCCTAGTTTAGGCTCTTTATACTCAAATCCTCTCTCTTTTACATTTATCCCTAAGTGTTTTAAAATTGCCTCACATAACATTTTTAGTGGGGAATCGTGGGCTTCGCCCTGTTTAAATAATTGCTTGGCATATAACTACATGATAGCTTTCGTAGTAATTTTTATGTGCTCCTTTTGTATGGTGAGGGTTAGCTGTTTATGACTCCGGTTATGAAAACAGTAATCAAGAAGTAAGTAATTGCTTGGCATATTTTGTTCAATTTTATATTATTCAAACGAGTACTAAGGAACACATCCTTCCTATATGTCAACAGTATTACTCCATTTTTTAAAAAAATCTCATATTATCAATCTAAACAAAAATTTCAAATACAAGTATCTTGACTATTTTATGGTTCCACCTGTCTTGTAAGCATTTGGGGTTATAGAAGCTACAGTTATAGAAGGTTAGTTATAGAAGGTTTATCTATAAGATAAAAAGCATATTTAAACCAATTGACACTGGAAAATATGTTTACCTTTTTCAAAAGCTGATTAAACATTTTCATGACTTCATCAACTTCTTGAAAGAAGCTATCTAAAGTCAAAGATGACCATGTTAAAATAGTAAGTCCTTGTCGCAATACAGATTCCACCTAAAGAAAACAGACAGGGCCAAGAAAAATAAACATTTAGTGGGACTGTAGTACACAAGCAATCATGAATATCAAATGTCTAACATACCCATTTTAATTTTAATTTAATATTATCTTAGCATCTCTCTGTAGCATTAAATTATGTATCAGACAAACTTTTTAAATCGATGCATTCAGAATGTGGTGACCTCAGCTGGGGAACAGGTCCATGGCAAGAGAAGCCAATCCTTCAAGTACCCTAGTCGCAGGCCATATAGGGCATTAGAGGTCAGCAGCAGCATTCTGAATTGCACTTGCAAGCAAACTGGCAGTGTAATGATTTTAAATATGGCAAGATGTGTTTCCCAAGCATGATACCTGCTAGCAGCCTAACAACTACATTATGAATTTTGCAAACTGTCTTAAAAGGTAGCCCCATGTGAATGGTTTAGAGTAGTCCCAATTGGATGTAACCAGAGCCTAGATAACTGTTGCCAAATTCTGCATATCGAGATAGGCCACAAGCTGCAACAACCAACATTGGTGAAATACCCCACATATCACAGAGGAGATCTGTACCACCTGCAGTCCTGAATCAAAATCACTACCAAACTGCTCACATGCTCTTTAAGAGAGAGGGTGAACCCATCTAAATAAGATTGATTTGTGCAAACTTCAATTGCAAACATCAATAAATCAACAACATCCACTTTCTCATCTGACTCAGTTAAGTAAACTGAACTGGGCATTGTAAGCATGTTGATGATCCCAAACTACCAGCTTCTGCACCTAGAGTGCCCAGTTTGGATCACAAGACTGCAACATGTGGAAAAGGGTCTTCAGCCTTCCCTCAAGCACACACTGACAACATTTCCTTGACCTCAAACAGTGGTGGTGGTGGGGGGAGATGCTATTTGTCCCACTGGGGAAATGCATGACAGTACATTCTGAGACTGCTCTGATCTGCTACAGCAATGGCACTCAGATCACCATGAATGTAAGAGAAGCACCCTGATCTGGATAGCCCAGGCAGGCCTGATCTTGACAGATCTCGGAAGCTAAGCAGGGCTGACCCTGGCAAATAATTGGAAGGGAGATCCCCAAGGAATACCAGAGCTCCGGACACAGAGGCAGGCAATCAAGCCACCTCTCTGAGATGTTCAAACCCCACTAAGGGTCGCCAGAAGTCACTATGACTTCCAGGCATACAAGCACACACACACACACAAAACCCACAAAAATAAATCATAAAATGAATGTAAGAGAAGCTCAGTATGTAAGTCACAGTACTGTGTTGTGCGGGCCATGTTGATATTATTAGGGGCCAATCTCAAAAGCTCCCTCACCACCTGGAACCGATCCACTGAATAGCTTTACACAGGCATGTTGTAGAGAAGCTTCACCACTATCACAGCCACAAAGTAAATTGCCCACCCCTGCAGGGATTCCAAGTCTTTGTGAATCTAAACTTTATCAGGTAATGGTTCATCTGTAACAAAAGAATCTCTGAGATATCCTCCGCACCCAAACCACTTTGAACTGGACCAGTAGTACAGGGAGGTAGCTTTAGTCTTTGAACTTAATGGTCTTCCATGCATTCTTCTTGAGATGGTAATGTATACTTCAAATTCAAAGCTACAGCACACTTCTGTGGGGACTCTCCTGAGCCCATGGACAGGGGCCCATGCCTTTATACCAGTCTAGCTCTAACTGCAAATAAAACCCAAATCAAGCATATATCCTACTACTATACATGTGAGAACTACGTTAACAGCCCCATGGCTGATATGAAGACCATGTCATCCTGAGGTACACCATATTGAATAAATACATACACACCCTGCCACATGTGTCTATGAGCACATATGTACCTTACACACACAGTGAGTATATTCTGCTGAATTAAATTACCGTGACTCACCTTCTTCATTTTTGGCGCCATCAAATTTACAAACACAGTTGGCACTTCCTGGCACAAATTTTCATAACATGCAAGAATACCCTGTGAATTAAAATTAATGTTCAATATTGTAAAGAATTTAAAAAAGACACCAAAGTATGCTTGTGCAAAAAGTAAGTCGTTTGAAGAAAAATGGAGCATTGGGCTACACATAAATTATTCAGTGAAATTTTAATATAAAATGTAATTTAACATTAATTTATTTACTTCATTTATATCCCACTTTTCTATCCAACAGGGACCATATCTGGCTACATCACTCTCCTTCTCCACTTTATCCTTACAACAACCCTGTGAGATAGGTTAGACTGAAAGGGTGTGACTGGCTCAAGGTCACCCAGCAAGCTTCTATGGCAGAATGTGGATCTGAACCTGGATTTCCCAGATCCTAGTCCAATACACTAACCTGTGTTTGTGTGTGTATGTGTATACACACACACAAAATACACACAAAACTATAAGACAGTTTGTTTTCATTGACAGGTATCAAAATTTAAGATATTTCCCCAATGGAGAGAAGACTGAAATTTGAACTTGCACAGTTCAAGACATCATGCTTATTAGAAGGGTCTGCATTTTTTAAACCTTTTTGTCACTTAAAATTTGTGACATGAAACTAAACTCATAACTGAGATGAACATGCTTCATAGCAAGTGACACATAAGGTGAAATGTTCAGCTATGTGAATAAGCTCTATACCATAAAAAAGCCAATGAAGTTACTTCATCAGATGGAAGTTGTGAAAGCAAGCATAGCTAAACATCTGGATATTTCTATTCATGTAAATGAACTATCTTTTTGTCTGTTCAGGATAACAATTAACAGTCAATGAACAATCTCTTAGCAAGACTAGTGGAATAAAGTCTAAATTGTCATACAAAGAAATATGTTAATATGATACTTCTAAAAAATATATCAGTGGTTAATTCTTTACATACCTCCAAACGTAATTTGTTTGTCTTAACCTCACTTTCAATTTTAACTATCCTCTTTGCCTGCTCTGGTACGTCAAGTCCCATCTTTATCATACACTTCGTTTCTCGGACAATCTCTAAGATTTTGGGGTCAAAATTAACTAGTAGCTTTCCAGTTTCAGGATGCCGTACCAAAAGTGTTACTTGTAATGCTACAAATGCAAAAATATTATAGAATTATAGCCGACCTGAGCCTGTTCGCGGGGAGGGCGGGGTATAAATATAAAAAAATAAATAATAAATAAATAAGTGCAAACTATAACTTTTTCCTGTTGTACAAATTTGCAAAATTGTCCAAAGCCAAGGTGGGAAGACAAAGATACTATTCTGTAATACTTTCGGTGGACCAAAAGACTCACCATATTGTAGCTGTGAAATTTCCTTCATCCAAGCTGTGTGATAGAGTACCTCAAATTCCACCAGCACATAGGAAATTTTATTGTACAATCGAACAACTGCTTTACCTTCTGGACTTGCTAAGATGTCTGAATTTTTCTGTTAAAATATTTGGAATCAATGATATACATATTAAAATATATAAATTAATGGAATACTGCCTCTCATTTCTCTCTTCCTCTCATTAGTCTAGGAGATTACATAATGTGATTTATTTTTACAAGCCTTTCAAGATTACACAGATTTTGATAATGCATATCATTGCTTCTTTAATTACAGACAGTGCTATATTTCAGCTTTTCTAAGCATGGACTCAAAAGTCCTGTGATATACTGGGCAAACACATAAGCAGCACAGCTTTGTTTGTTGTTTACTCTCCAGCAGATTCCACAGTTGAATAGATAAGACGTTTTTAAAGGGATATTTTTCTGGTACTCTCTTGCTTTTTCCATAATCCAGCGAATGTTGGCAATTTGATCTCTAGTTCCTCTACCTCTTCGAAACCCCGCTTGTACTTCTGGTAGTTCTCTATCCACGTACTGTTGAAGCCTAGCTTGTAGGATCTTGAGCATGACCTTGCTAGCGTGTGATATGAGTGCAATTGTGCGATAGTTTGAACATTCCTTGGCGTTGCCCTTCTTTGGGATTGGAATGTATACTGATCTTTTCCAATCCTGTGGCCACTGTTGCGTTTTCCAAATTTGCTGGCAAATGGAACCTAACAAAATTGTAGTGGCATATGTGGTTCGACCCTGTACTCAAATCATATTTCTTTGGATCCTGGCCAAAGGCACAAAAGAAGCTATCATAGATAACTTTAATGATCAACCAACAAAAAAGGGCAATGTGCTATAATCACAGAAACAAAGCATACCTTTCCCTAGCAATAATTTTGCCTCTTCCTCAAACTTTTAAAAATTCAAACAATTCATTATCTGGAATGGGAAATATCTTCAGCTGGAATACTTATGCACAATGCACCACTTTCCAGTCATTTCCAAAAAAACTCTTTATCACATTTTACTTAAAATTGTGGGTGGCTTAAGGTGCTCATTCATATCACTTGATTAAAGTTCAGAAAAAGCCTTGGAGATTTTTCAATTAAAGTGGATTTCTTCACGAAAGGCAATTTCCAGCTTCTTAAGATATTCAGGAGAACTGAAACCATTCTAAAATAAGTCTGATATACACCTTAAGGGTTACTGCTAAATTATCAAAATCTTCTACGTCTCAATATATGCTTGACATTAGTAAAGTTGGATATTAGCTTTCATGACAGTCAAACAGCACCACCTACAGACTGTCCCATATCACTTTACTCCAATTGTAATCTCAAAGAGAATTGGGAATACATGATAAACATCAGTATTCTTGTCACTTGATCACAGTTTTTAGAGGCATAGTATTTTATGCCTTACCAAATTTGTCTCCTTCAGGTGGATGATGACAAACTTACATAAAAATAGTCGATCGGTTCATTTATGCGCCTGAAGAGCTGCCTCACCCACAGTATCTTCCCAGCTACTGGGGGCATATTTCGAGCCAGAGGAGGATCATCTTTTTGAGCCTGATAAAGCTGTGGTAAACACAGGTTTAAAACATACTTTCTAGTAAAACTGTAGCTAAATCTCTAAGCATTTGGAACTGAACAAGAATGTGTGGTATTAAACAGCAGACGATGTTCTGACAAGAAGTTTAACTGCAATTCCATAAGGTATACTATTTTCCATAACAGAATGAAGAGAAGAGGAGAAATATGAAGCATTGAATTAAAGGTAGCTGACATGCTAATAACTATGTGCAACATCAATTAGAGACACTACACATTCCCAACTTTTTGTTTCCAAATTAGAGATAGCTTAAAAATTCATAAGATTCACTTGTTCCCCTCTCCCAAGGGTCTGTTGTTCTCTGTTTTACTATCTTTTCAATGCTAATCAGCCCAGTCTCCAATCCAGCATTGCCACACACTGATAAAGTAAAATTACGGTTTACAACACAGACCATCAATATAAACATAGAACTTCTCTGCCTCTCCATCTATATTATTTTAAACCATTCATTATTGGGGTTGTCAACCAATCAAATTAAAAATTTCTTGCTCAAATGTTTGCCTTTTTAACCATCTGTCAGTAAGTGAATGAATAAAAGATAAATGTGCATATTCCCAAAACCACAATATAGGTGGTTTTTGAAACAATCAAATGAGTGTAAACAACAAAAATGAACACCTATTCTTAGAACAAAAGGCTACCATTGATATTTTCTTTTTAATATATTTACAGCTATATGACACTCTTCTACCATAAAGGCCCTCCACCACAACACTAAAATCCCAAAATTAAAGTGGGCTAATTTTTTTAAATAAATGTATTCTTAAGTCTAGTCTCACCTATTAAAATTTGCCCTTACTAACTACAATTAGACTGTCTTAATAAGTCATCTAAGTTCCTTTGATTAGTCTAAATCGGGGTGGCCAAACTTGCTTAACATAAGAGCCACATAGAACAAATGTCAGATGTTTGAGAGCCACAAGATATGAGCAAATATTACGCACACGTTTTTACTGGGAAATATGCAAATTTGCTTTTTATATGAGACTGCCAAAAATAAAAACAAAACGGGTAAAAACAGATATTAATAATGATATTTCTTTGTCCAATGATATTTCTTTGTTTGCTAATGATATTTATTTGTCTAAAAGAGAGAGAGAGAGGCTTCCGGTCTGGCTCCCGCGCATGGCGGACGCTTCCTCGGGTCGCTCCCGAGGGCGCCTCGCCCGCCCGCGGTGGAGGAGGGAATCCGCGCGAGCGGAGACCCGAACGAGCCCCTCAGAAGAGAGGAGCTCGGATCCGGGGCGCTTTAGGGCGCACTAGGGGGGAGTCGCTCTTTCGGCCGAGAGGTCGGAGAGCGAGGCTCCCGCCATGCCCTGCCCCAATGGACCTTGCTGCGTGAGCGACCCCGAACGGGGTTTAGCGGAGCCACCAGACGTCACCGAGTGATAAAGCGACCATCCGCAAAAATGGAAAAGAAAAAGAAAAGATCGGCTTAACTGTGAGTTGTCAAAATGCAGAGAAAAAGAACTGAAAATCGTTTCCCCCCCCTCCCAGCGAAAAAGGCAAAGAGATTAATCCTCCATCTATACAAGCGAAAAAGAAAAGGAGGGGGGGGATGAACTGAGCGGAC